AGGATGGTATCAATATGAGTGATGAGAAGTTGTCATATTTAGAATGCATTTTGAAGGACTCCTAGCCTAGCAGAACTGATTGATGGACTGGATATGGGGTGTGGAGAGAAGAATCAAGAGTACTGCTAGGTATTTTGTATGAATAAAGAATACCACTTCTGGAAATGGAAAATCCCAAGGAGGAAATCATTTGGTTAGAGAAATTGGGGCAAAACGAAGAGCTCCAACTTTAGGCATGTTCACTTTGAGAGGCATAATGGGTGGATTAGACATGTTCCTCCCAAAGATGCACTGCATTAACCCATGGGCCATCCGAGGGCAGGACTGCCCTGGAGACAGAATTATAGGAGCTGTCAGTGTGTGCACTTGACTCAAAGTCGTGGGATTCAAGAACACTCAGGAGTGGTAGATGAGAAGAGGCCAAAGAATGAGCTCTGGGCCCTCTGATGTTTGAATGTTGGGAAGATGAGTTGTCAGTCAAGGAGATGAGGAGTAGCCAGTGCCAGAGGAGACAAGCCAGAATAATGGGGAAAAAGGAAGGAATGATTGGCTGTGGCAAAGATATAAAGTAACTGCTAGACTTAGCAACATGGAGTTGTCAGTGAGCTGCCACCGTGGAGCAAAAGGATAGAAACCAGTCTGCCTGATCTCAAAAGAGAACTGAGGGTGAGATTCAACTGTGAGATTAGTTGAAAGTAATAATTCTAATTCTGATTTTACAGATGAGGGCATGTTGCCTAGGGAGATAATAAGTAACTTGCCCAGGGTCTCACACGAGCAAAGCTTATGCTTCTAACCACCCTATAAGATCACCTCCTAACTCCTGAGTGGGGCAACAGGGAAGTAAATGTCTTTTGTCATTTACAACCTCCTTCCCAAGCTCTAGAGACATGAAGGGTTGCTAGAAGAGGAAGTCAAGCACAGAGCTCCAGGTTCAAGTCTTCTTGCAGATAGTTCTTACAATGATCCCATGAAAAGAGTACCAGTATCATTTTTATAGGAGAGGATACAGCCCAGAGAGGCTAACACATTTTCCCTCAGGTCACACAGGTAAAAAGCAGTAGAACCTTGAGGCTGGATCTGCCTAATTCCCAGGTTGGATCTCTTAACCATCAAACCATCTTGCCACCCCATCAGTGAAGAAGGTTGGGAGGGCAAGTACAGCTGCAGAGCATTTACAATGAGGCTTCCCATCTCCTTCATATCAGCACCTCTGACTGGTGACTGCTCTAGGTTCCTTTCTTGACCTCCCTATAAACTAGGAAGTAAAGCAGTGGGTAGAGAAAGTTGTGGAAACAGGAATTGGCTCACAACCTGCCCACACTTGTTCTGACAGAGGTCAGTGCTTGCTGCGGTCTTGTTTTGAGACTGGTGGGGCATTGCTATGCAGGAGCTCAGGCACAAACCCACCCAGAAGGTAACTTGCAAGCACCCAAGAGTTGAGGAGGTAGAGGGACATGGTCTGGAAAGGACAGAGGGTAGTAGCTGCAGAAGGATTCTTGGCAGCCTGGGGTTCCTGAAATGCAGTTCCCCCCAGTCCCCCTTAGGGCATGTCTGTCTTAACAAAGGAAGTACGGGATCAGATACAAGTTCACATTATGGCTTTAGCCTTATACTACATAACTTTGAGTCACTACTATGGGTGTTTAAAAGTGGATATTGGGAGCTGGATGTGTGGCTCAAGTGGTAGAACATGTGCCTACCAAACACAAGGTCCTGAGTTCAAACCCCAGTACTGGAAGGTAAGTGTTGTTTAAAGGACTTGGAGTGAGGAGACTAAAGTCTGGAAGTCCAACTCTGGAATTTATCATCCATGTGATCTGTCTAGATCCCTCCCAATCTTGGAACCTCAGTTTTCTGCTCTGTAAATCAGGCATAAAAATATCTACCTTGCAGAATGAGTGGGAGGGTTAGTCAGACAAAGCAAGGTAGAATGTATCTGGAGTGCTGCTTGGAAAATTGGAGATACTTTAAAAATACCAGTTAGAATCCATTCCTCCATCTCTCCATCCATCCATCCATCCATCCATCCATCCTTCTGTACTGAACATCTATCATAGCCAATCATTTGGCTAAACACAAAGGACTTGGGTGCTCTGAGTAGCCCTTGAAGTACTTGCTGTATTCCTGGGAGATGGGAAAGAGGTGTCTTGTGTCAGTAGGAGAATGGGAAACAGGGATGTGGAGCCCAGGCTTAAGAGGAGGGATATGCTTGAGAGATGGTCCTAATCTTGAGAAATATTACTGTCAGAACCTCCTTTGATTGCATATAAACCAAACACTGGGTTAAATACTGAAAGAGCAGGTGGAAGGGGAGACAGTGGTGGCCCAAAGTCACATAGCAGAGGGGGATGGAGCTGATATTAACTCTAGTCTCTCAACTTTTCCTATCACTGTACAATGCCTCTAAAATAGTACAAAATAAAGTCCCTGTGACCCAGGTACTGTGCACACTAATTATTTGGTTTGATGCACACATCAGCACATGAGGTGTTCTGAGAAGCCCCACCCAGCAGTTCCCTGAACATATTTGACCAAGGAATCTCTCTCTTCCTTCACCCACATATGCCTATCATACCTAGCAATGATTTTGAAATCCCTCTTGGAAAAATAACATTTTAAAACAAAGCAAAAGTAGAATTGCCACTAGGTCTCTTTGGGAAACTCATTTTGCCTTTTTGCCTTAGAAACAGAGTTTGTACAAACTGTCTTCACCTAGGATATCTGCTGCTGTCAGGAGGTAGCAACTTTAATCTTTTTCCTCATCCTTCCTTTTGTGTTCCTCCTCCTTTGATTTGCAGGAAGAAAGTTTTCTGATTGGAACTTAGCACATGGCTTAATTTTTACTCCTTCTCCTGACTTCCAGAGGCAGTGAGAACAGCAGCAATTACCATGGGGATTTTAATTTTAATCTTATTTTGTTTTTGTAATAATGGGGTTTGAACTCAGGCTTGAACATGCTAGGCAGGTGTTCTACCACTTTAGCCATGTCCCCAGTCCAAACCATAGGGATTTTAAAGATATATCTTGAAAGACAAAGTATTGTTTAAGTGGAAAAAATTCAAGATTTGGAGTCAAAGACCAAAGTTGGAGGTCAAAAACTAGAATTTATTATCTGTGTGACCTTGGGCAGGTCATGCTCTGTCTCTGAGCTTTGGCTTATTTCTTTGTACTTAGAAGATTACAATAAAAAGAAAATGAGGAGATACTGTTCACAAGAAGTCTCAACTATAAAGTGTTTCTTGAGTAATTTTTTATTCTTACTAAGTATAACCATCATCTTGATCAATGCAGAAATGAGTCTCTTGTCAGACTCCTGAAATGTCTGGGGATACAGAGACAACTTCACAGTATATATCTACTGGGAGAAAGGGAAGGTGCAGGTGCTTGTGTAGTTTCAAGGTCGGCTGGTCCCTCTGTCCAGTGAGGGGAGAAGCCGGTTGGGGGCTGGTGGCAATGTTTCAAGGAGCATCTTGAAGTATTTTGATTAAGAGACTATTTCCTGAATTCAGAAGACTCGTTTCAACAAGCAGGCATCAAAGTCAACTTGGAAAGACAGGAATAATTAATCACAATCCTGTCTAGCAGGGCTGCCCAAGCGGCAGATGGATTGATAAACCTTTCAAAGAGGAAGGTATTCCCAAGGAGGGCTGTTGCGCCTGGCTGCCCCCCTGATTGAGATTTGTGAGCACAGATAAATATTTTCCCTACTCGCTACGAAGAGTGGGAAATCACACAAGAGTTGGGAGTGGAGGGCAGAGTGAAGTGGGTTGTCCTTTTATCTTCAATTGTGTAAGAGAAGAGTGCCAAAGCAGGACCCATATAACTCTCCCTCCACCCTAACTCAGAGTCCAGATGCCCATGCTGTGTGAATGTGTTAGAGCCTAAGACATACCTGGCACTTAATCTATGTGATCTTGCTGGATCCTTGGAATGGATCCTATCATTTTAAAGTTGAAGAAATGAAGGTCTGGTTGGGGCAGGGAGGTTGAAGTCACCTAGAAAATGGCAGGACCAGAAATAGAACCCTCCTGCTTCACTACACTGTAGGGCTGAAAGAAGATGGAGAAAAAGGAAGAAGTGAGATTCCCAAGCCTATGAAAGAATCTGCTCAGCCATCGACAAGACCAAATCCTGCTGAGTGCCTCTGACATGAGGTTCAAGGTTGTCATCCCTTATCTAGTAATCGATAAAAGGCCAAACGGTTCCCACACGGCACAGACCCCAGCTACTAAAAGGTATTATTGTGTTACTCTGGAATTGACATTTGTGTTCAGACATTTTTGTCCTGTTTTTTTTCAAAATCCCCATTGCAGTCCAGCTGTTTGAGCTGGAGCGATGAGCCTGTTGGTTGTTTGCCTCTACTAGTCCATCACCTCTATGACGAGGTGGTCATTACTCATCATCTGAGCTGGTGATTAAGCCTCTGGATTTCCCTGCTTTTAGTGCACAAGGAAGTTGATTCTAAGTTTCTTGATAAAATACCAAGTGAACGCAGACCCCTGAAAAGGCCATGCTATCTACTGGGGAGTCCCCATGGGTTGGCAGAATTGGGTCATTCCCTGGAGTTTATAGCATCTGGGTCTAGTAGACTGGGAGAATAAACCCCAGGACCCTTGACTCACCATTCTCTTTCTACACTAACCACCTTTGCACAGCATGCAACTCAACAGAGTCTGACCTCCTGAGCCTGTCCTGGAAATACCCTTTCCATGGATCACCAATCATCCCATTGGGAAATGCTCAATCTCAATAACTAATTGCTCTGTATAAACCAGACTCCAGAAACCTATCAAACTTCGGTCCTTGTTCAGTGCTTTTGTTGGGGAAGTTGGAGGCAATAAGCCCCTTTGCCCTGTGACCTCAGGGATTCTTTTGGCAAGTAACTAACGGAGCCTCAGAAGGACAAAACTATGACTGAGTCCACACTCACCATACCTTCAGCAAATCAACAGTCTTAGTCATGCCCCCCTCCACCCATCCAGTACTGCTGCCATTACCTGTTTACTGGAAGACATGTTGGTGAGTGTACTGATGCTGCTGGTATCTGTGACCACCATTGCAGATGGAAACCGGGAGGTGTGGGAATACTGAGGGGGTTCCTGCTTGTGTGCGTACACTGGAGAGGCAGAGGAAAAGACAAACTCAAGATGCATATCCCAGCACACACACAGCTCCAGTCCTCCCGTCCCAGGCCATGGCTCCCATTTCCCTGAGCAGATAAAAGAGGGTGCTGGTTATGTCTGGGAAGGCAATACAATGTGGTGAAGTCCTGGCTCCTTAATCAAGTTACTTGACCTCAGTTTCTTCATCTGTAAAAGGGGGATGATACCTGTTGTAGGATTAGGAAATATGTTTAAATGACTTTGCATTAAGTATACGGCCTTGTACACTGCCTAGTATATAGTGAAACTTGGGAATACTTCCATTTCCCTGTCTTTCAAGAAAATATTAGGTTCCTGGACATCCACAAGTGACCCTTAGGTATATGTGGCACATCTGCAATTTTAAGTCAAAAAATCTTCTAAGTAGCTGGCCAACACAAAGTGTCTAGCCAAGCTCATGCTATTTCTGATATGACTCAAACTCCAGTTCCTGCCAGAGTTGTAGATTGATTAACAACTGTAATTAGACACATGTGCAGTGAATTGTACAATTCTGGGCTATTCTGGTTTGCACTAAAATGACATCAGAGCCCTATTACATCACAGAAATATGAAGGATTAACAAAAGGAGACTAGATTCACATAAAACCTCTGGGAACATGTGAATTAATTTTGAGTTTTTCTAGTAATGGTCCACCACTTCTGGAACCTTTTGACTCATTGTTAGTTATCTACAAGAATCACGTAAATTCCAGTAACTGTGTGGGTGGTTGGCCATGAAGGATGGGACCAGCCAGTTCTCAGAACATGGATCCTACCAGCGAGTCCTCCAGTAGGGACTTGGGATAAAGGTTGTTGGCTATTGCCTCAACTTGTCCTTCTTATTCAGGGAGGCAAGTTATCTCTTGATTCAGGGCCCCATGGGTTCTTTCTTCTTGGCTAGCCAGGCCTGCTTGGGCCTCAGCAATGGATAAAGTCACAGTGACCACTTTCTGACTATGCCACCTAGGCCTGCCAATATGAGGGGATAGGGAACAGTGAGAAGCATATTGCCAGGCTCCAGGAGGAAGGGGATTGAGGCACATGTAGTTCCAGACTCTGTTAGAGGCTGTGACAGAGTTTTAGAAGCCATGAATATGTGATTGGAATGTAAGACCATGCTCAGAAACCAGCTCTGCAGCCTGAATGGGGATTAAGCCCTAAGGACAGAAGACTGAACTTCGTTGTTCTTTGTCCAAGATAATCAGGGTTCAAGCTCAAATCCCCCTTGCCATCCTTGCCTCCTAAAAGTCTCTTGATAAACAATAACTTTCATTTCTATAACTCTTCATGCTTACCAAACATATTTCACCCCTACTTGTATTTCATTTTCATAATGACCCTATTTATGCATGAAGAAACAAGAGACTCAGTAGATAAGTAACCTGCCAGTGGTCACATAGCTGGTAAGTGTCAAAGCCCAGATTTAAATCCAGGTCTGCTTGATTTAAGACTACTCTATGATAGCCACTTCCCTCATGTTCCCAAAGCTGGAATCTATCCATCCTTTTGATGATTCTTCCCCCAAACTTATAGGCTAAAGGCTATAGACAGACCTTGCCAGAAAAGCGAGGCCTGGGGCTCAGGAAAAAAGGTAGATATAAGTAGACTTAGGGGAGGTATAGAAACTGGATTGAGGGGACCCTCTGGGCAGGGGCAGAAACTCAAATTTTCCTGCCTTTGATGGTGTGCAGGTGGTATCTACTTATGTTCATGTCTTTTTAAAGAATTATTAGAGGTGTCTGGATGGTTTAAGTTGGGGGCATGAAGATGAGGAAAAGTGTTCTATTTCAGGAAGTTAAACAGGATAAAAATCATATGCCAACTCTAATCATTTGGTAATGGTAGCTTAGAAGTTTGGATGGAAAAGACTAAGTTGAGGCTCACTGGGAAAGGTGCTGGGGTTGATTGGTGAGCTCTTCTCCATAGATGCCAGAATGGGAAATTGTGGGGTACGTTCCATATGCTATCGCCAACTCCCCTTTATACGTAGAGCTAAGTCGTCCTCTGAAAACCTTCCCTTGGGAATCTTGAGGGTAGGGAAGAGGACTAAAAAAGGAAGAGCAACACATAAGAGTTGTGCTTGAAAAATTGTCTCAGTTGATGATAGGTAAGGAAAAGTGACCAAACCAATAACCTTCCAAGAAAGGCCCAGCCCAGACAGGGAAGCAGTTGGGGTGCTCCCCGCCCCATCACGCTCATGTCCTTACTGTGGGAGTTCTGTAGCTGAGTTACTGCAGCCATGAAGGGCTGCTGGGCCATATGGCTGCCTGGGCTCTGCTGCATGAGGGGTTGCTGGTGAGGGCTGTGCAGCTGCTGGGAGAACTGGACTGGCTGCAGGGCCGCCAGGCTGCCTGCTACACTGTTGATGACTGGGACGCTTTGTGCTTGGGAGGTGTTGAGGCCTGTGGGAACAAGAGGGAAATATTAGGGATGAGCAGAGGTGAATGAACAACAGTAGTCATCAGTGGTGCCCACATCGAAATGCTCCACCCTGGGCTGAGCCTGTTATGGAAGAGATCACATAGGAAATGACTTTATACATAAGGAAACAGAGACTTGGAGAGATTAACTTTTTTCCTCCAATTCCACAGTGAATTGTGGGATGGAGAAAGGCTTTAAACCAATCTGACTAGAGTCTGAGAGTCTCTTTAAAGTCATCCTATGACCTCCCAAACTCAGCTCCCTTGAGGTTACCAGGGTCTGGAGAAAGCTGACTCTACTTGCCCATTCCATCCATGCTGGACTGTGAGAGAGGCTTGTCCAGGTGCCCTAAGAGTTAATGAATGGGGTCTTTTCTTGGGCAGGGATTAGTGTCCAGATCTGTTTTTCCAGTAGAGGGCGGCAGTGTGCAGGGACCCACTCTTTGATTCAAAATAAAACACCCTGTATTGTCCTGGGGAGTATGAAGACCCTTGGTTAGTAGACAGCACAGAAACCCTCAGAGAGGTCAGAGCTGACTCTCTTGATGATCACAGTGAGGGGGAAAGAACTATAGACACTCAGCTGGTCTATGAAGCATATAATAACATACATTATCTGGCTGTACAGGGGTTGGTATTTAAAGTACCAAATTTGGGAAGGAGGAAGCAGTAATAAAGGTCAGTCCTTGGCAGTAACAGTGGGTCTGGCCACCTTTTTGTTCTGGGGGTAGGAGTGCCTCTGTGGTTTGGTACTGTGTCCATATCCTGAGGCCTCTTTAGAATCCTGGCCACCACTGCAAGGATTGGGTCCCTGGGTGGGACTCAGGGGGAAGACAGATAAGGTAGAGTTACAGTGGGGACAAGAGGATGAGGAGAGACAACATTCAACCTCTTTCCTGGAACAGCCAATGTTCCTTTGTCCTTGCTTTTTGGGAAATAAGGGGAGGAATGGGATGAAGAAGGAAATCCAGAAAAATGTCTGTTTTAGGTGGATGCAGAGGGGATACCTAGAGAGCCTTTCCTGAAAGGGACAGGGTTTTGTAAAGAAATTGTGGGAAGTCTTCAATAGAGATAGCATAGAGCCCTCAACAATTGTCTGGTCAGAGCTATAGCTGATACGGTTATCTGAATCCTAAGAGACCCCTGAGCAGAAAAGAAAAGGGATAACCTTCTTCCTGGGTGGGGGTGGGGGATGGGATCCTCTGATCACCTTCAGAACAGCATTATCTCTAGTTCTGGGGGTTGGGGGTGCGAAGAGGGGGGCACCTCAGCTTCTCCCCAAGCCCACATCTCACCTGATACCCTGATATCCAGATTCCCTTTCCCACCTCCACCTCCCACTCATTGTCTCCATCTCTAGGAAGCCCCATGAATCGGCTGTTTTTCCAGGAGCCAGAGCCACTGCTCTGTTTGGGAAACTTCTGCCCGGAAAAGCAAATTAACCTGCCTAGAACACGTGACACTTGAGGGCATAGTTCTGAAACACCTGCCTTCAAAGCCCAAACTAGGAAATTGCTAAGAAATATACATTCTACAGGGAGCAGTGGAAGTAGTTCAATATGGACAGCATTAGAAGAAATATACATGTGGGAGGCTGAGGCAGGAGGATCAAGAGTTTGAGGCCAGCCTGGGCTACCTAGTGAGACCCTGTCTTAAAAAAGAAAGGAGAAGAAAAAAAGAAATATACATTCCTGGGCCCCACCCAAGACTTAATGAGTCAGATCCTTCAGAGGTGGGGCCTGGGAATCTTAGGTTCAATAGTCTGTGGTGCTGATGTGCCTCAGTTCCAGGGTTGAGAGCCTCTGACGTCATCCTAGGCTCCTGAAGTGTTGTGACTTTTGGCCTCTTCATCTGTTTTCTGGGCACAGATCCTGCTTCAGAAGTATCTACTGGGAGCAGTCCAGTAGCCACAAGGAGAATGAGAACTTGGCAATGATAAGTCATTTATCTTGAGCCCTGCAGTCCTGAGGTAGGTCCCATGGACTCAGCAACACGTGTTGGCTGAATGAGGATGTCTGCCACCCACTCTTTATCCTGACAGTCCCTGGGGGGCGGTACAAAGGTTCCTGGCGATCCCACCCTTCTTCATGCTCTGTCCACCCCAATGCATATTCACACGCACATTCTTAAGATCAGCATGCATGCTGGTGCTGCCCACCTGCTGCAGGAGACCACTGTGAGAAGGTGGAGGTATGGGTGGAGGGGATTAGGAAGAACAAAATTGGAAAATATGGAATGAATTTAGGGAAATTCTTAATCCAGACAGTACCTAAAGTAATGCTTTACTATCTATGTCAGTCAAAGCTTAGCATTGAAAGAAAGAAAGCAGAATGGCTTGTGTATCATTTTGGTTGTAGAATAAGGAAGTAGGTATTTCACTCATAGGACTTTTAATTAAATCTTTTAGAAGGCAAGCAAGCTGGTTTCAGGTGTCCTAGCTCATTCTCAGTTAAAACCCTTGCATTAGTTTAGTTACCACAGTCCATGTTTCAGAGGGCCCAGTGACAAGGCAGTAAATTTAAAACAATTTTTTATTTTGTGTGTCTTCTAAAGATTCTCCATTCCTATTTCCCTTCTACAAAAATAAATGCAGAGTGTGTTGATTTCTCAACAGCTAAGGCTAGGGCAAAAGCCACACAAAGTCATTCAGTAAATTTGTGCACTTCTAATAGTCCTGGCCTTGTTCTACCCTTCAAAGACACATAAGTCATTATCCTGAGAAGTGATCTGAATTCCTACCCTACCTAGAGCTGATTTAGGGAGAGAGGAGGGATGGAGCGCAAAATGCAGGGACAAAGAGGCAACCCACTCAGTAGAGGATACAAGGGAGACCAAGAGGACAATACAAGGTTGAAACACCAATGGGCCCCATTAGCTCTCCTCCTCAAAGATCAGTGATGGTCTTGAGAAACAATGAATCGACCTGAGCTGTCTGATGTAGCTGAAAATATATTGAGAGACACCTATAGCTACAGCCTGCTTTATCTGCTTCAGCTTTCCCATGGCCAGAAATGACCTCTGGCCTGCCTGTGACAGATAGGAAAAGCTGGCTGTAGAATAGGAACTTCCCAGGGCTGGAGGGAGCTGATCCATCTCACTGTTTTTATGCATGTGCAAAACACCCTGTTTCTCTTTAGAGTTTTCAAAGCTCCAAGACACTTTGGCAGTTTCCCCTGGAGTCCCTCCCTCTGCATTTTCACCTCTAGCCAAGGAAGTCTGGTCTACAACATAAAATTCCATGCTTAGAAGGAAGCCTATCATGTCTTGCTGTATCTTCACCAACACAAAGAACCTCCTAGACGTAAAACAGGTACTAGTGAGAGGGTGAGGGTAAATAGAGGTCAAAGGAGGGTGAATATGGTCAATATATTTTATATAGTCATATGAAAATGGAACCATGAAACCTGTTGAAATAATTTTAAGTAGGGGGGAGAGGGGATGAGGGAGAATGATGGTGGGGATGAACCTAACCAAGGTACACTTTAACCATATATGAAAATGTCACAATGAACCACCCCCCCAAACTAATATATGCTAATAAAAATGTTTAAAAATTAAAAAAAAGAAGACTCTCCTGGAAAATCTGCCACCTGCTTAGGGATAGGAATGAATAGAAGACAAAAGTATAAGCTGCCTATTATGCATATTCATGCCTTATAGATTTATAAATATGTCCGTATTCACTGTCATCTTACAGTTTCAACAACCCATTCTCATAGATGAGGAAACTGACCCCCATAAAGGTTCAGTGATTTGACCCAGGCTTCACAGCTAGTCAACAGTGACCAGGATTCAAATTCAGTCCAAAATTTTCTCTCGTCTTGAGCTAAACAATCCAAGCATTGTTAGGGAGAGAGAAAAATAAGTTAAATCAAATTGTCAGGTACAAAGGCGATCACCTATGGTACTTTTTAAGAAATCATAGTGACTTGCTTCCAATTTTGCTTCTCCTATCCCAGGTTTTCTGACCAAGAACAGAACTTACTTTGTGCAATGGCCATGACTCCAGACAGGGGGGTCATGATGAGGTTTTGAGATTGCTGAGGATTATGGTGGGAGAGGCTGTGGATGTTCGTCAAGGTGCTGACCGGGGGCAAACCTCCTCCTGAGACTGATATCTGCTAGAGAGGGAAAACAAGTGCAGCATGAGTGGGATTGGAGCCACAAAGGGCAGTTTCCAGAATGGCATGACTTTCTCAGCACTGATTCACTCATTCACTCAATGACAGTTATTAAGGACTCACTGAAGGACAGACACTGTTCTAGATGCTGGGAGAGAAATAGGTAAAACAGACATACTCCCTGCCCTATGATGCTAATATTTGCTGATTATCTTAAACTTGCCTGCTTGCTTCAGAAATTCTTCTGTTCCTGTGTATCATATGATTGTCACTTGCGTACTATTTATGTGCCCACTGTTTTGCTTTCTGCCTTCTATATTACTGGTGCTTGACACATGACTGCTAAAAATAATAACTGAAGAAATGCCCTGGGATTCCCCTGTGAGAGTAGATTTTAGACTAGGCGGGAGCACAAGGAAGCGCTCGCTGAGTCCTGCTCATGTGTTAATTCACAATCCTCCATGTAACCCCATAAAGTGGATACTTCTGTCATTCCATTTTACAAATGAGAAGCTCAGGGTAAATATGTATCCTGCCTAAGATTCTGAAACTAGCAACAGTACACCTGTTATTCAAGCCCAGATCTGTCTGACCCTAAGAATCCAAGTTCTTGTCTGTTATATAGGACAACTTTTCCCTCCCACGTGTTATTGCTAAGAATTGAGAGAGGTAAGACTACTGAGGTTCTCTCTCTTTCACATCTACACTGTATATTACAATTTTCCCTCCCTTCTTCCCTCCCTTCCTCCTTTCCTTCCTTCCTTCTTTCCTTCCTAGCTTCCATATTCCTCCCTCCTCCTTATTTTCTTTTTTGTTAAGGAGCTGATATTGTAATGAAAAAACTACTGAGCAAGCCCCCATTCTGTTTCCCACTATATTTTAATTGACAGATGAGTTAGGAAAAGTGACTGATTCCTGTGCATTTACTTTGCACATGACTACTTAATTGACTCCATTTAGTTATTCCTGTTAATATCTTTTCCCAGTCTTTTTTTCATTTTTTTTCCAATGCATCACAAGCATAAAATGCTAACAGGATCTCTTTCTTGCTAGAACCAGTATGTCTACCTGTCTATTGGTTAGAACTTTCCAAATATTATTAAAGATAGCAACTGGATGGGGGGTATAGGGAGGAGAGATAAGAAAGAGTGATACAGGGGTGAATATGACCAAAGTACATTACATGCATGTATGGAAATAGCACAACAAAACCCCTTACTTTGTATAATTAATATATGTAAGCAAATATTAGTAAAAAAAAAAAAGCAACTAGGAGACCACTTATGAAGATGAAAAAGAAAAAAATCAATTGTAATAGATGAGCATGTTTTGATCTCGATGTCATAAAAATGTTTCTAATGTTTTCCCATTCATTATAACTATAATGAAACTTTCAGTTTTATACACACATACTTTTTTCATGATAAAGCAGTTTACAATTTATAGTTTTAAAAATTTCTAAGATTAACAAAGGCCTGTCCCTGCTCACCTGAAACAAACCCAGATATTGTTGAGGCCTCAGAGGTGCTGCAGGGTTAGGACAGTAATCAGCTCCCCTTCCTCCACCTTCAGTATCCAGAACTCTTCTAAATATAGGGGTCTCACACTGATACCTGGCATGACACTTAACTCCACCCTGCCTGTCTGGTCAACCCCTTAGTTTCCAAGGTTAACTTGAAAAAAAAAAAGAAAAAACCCAAACAGGTTTGTTTGTGTTTTTAAAATGAGCATCAAGAAATGAGTTAGAGGTCACATGACCAAAAAGGAATTCTGACCACATCAAACAAGAGAGAACCAGCCTGTTTGCTAGACTTGTTTTTCAAAATGTCAGAGTCATTAAAAAAAAAAAAAAAAATCAGTGACCTGCCCTCGATTGAATCCCTTGGGTAATACCGTCCTTTGGAGAAAGTCAATGAAGTGCTAGTCACCTCTCTGCCATTTCAACGGGTCACCTCTCTGCCATTTCAACATTTGGTTTTGATGGTGCAACAAAAATGTGGGTGTCAATAATAAAAACAATTTAAATGTGTGCACAGCTTTAGAGCTTATAAATTGCTTTCAGTGATTGTTCTCAATCATAATGGCACAATTATTGTCCCTATGTTACCGATTAAGAAAGTAATCCTCAGAAGAGTTGAGACATCACTTTATCACTTGACTAGTAAGTGAAGAGGTTTCAATTCAAAGGCATTTTCCTAGAGTTTAAATCCCATTCACCTACTATGTTTGGAACCATGGTCAAGTTATTTTCCACTCTAAAAGGCAAGAATTTTTCACTTGTCACTTGATGGAAGCCAGAGTTGCCACAGACACTGTGATGACCCTTACATGATAATATGAAGTCTGAGTTATATAATACTGCCAATAACAGTCCCTTCACTGGGTTAATTCCTTTCTAATCTTGTGCACAAGGAAACGGAAATTTAGAGAAGTTAAGAAATATACCCAAGTGGTAGTCTGGGGGTTGAAAACAGGTGATCTTCCTCCAAGGTGAGCTTTTTACCCTTAGCTCATACTGTTAATACTGTGAAAGTGTCCAGTATTTTTTTTTAAAGTCAACATACATACATTGCAACTCTAAATCTGGCTAGTTTTTTGTCAATGCATACCATTGTGGCAGGGAAGTAGACATTATTTGCAAAACCAGTTCCTGGGGGAAGGTTTCAAAGGCAAGTTCTGCTGAAAGTTACTACACGGTCTGTCATTCCTAGGACACAGCTTACTCCCAAAACAAGAGAGTTATAAGCAATCTTCACACCAACCCCTAGATGTAGATATTATCTCCACCACCGTCCCATTTTACAGATGAAGAAACTGAGGTTAAGCACTTTTTCCACCTTAATTTAACACGTAAATAAATGATAGACCCAAAGCTGGGACATACTGGTCTCCTTGCCTGTATTCCTTTTTTGACCATACTCCACTCTTGCCTCGGTGGACCAAGATCTATGCTGGCCTTGTTATACATTAACAGAGAACAGACTCTTGAATTTGAGCATCCAGTGATAGTGACAAAACATATGAGCCAGGGTGTTGGAGACAAGTGAAAAGCGGTCCCTGCAAACAAGCTTCCAGATGTCTGCTAATGTTGAGATGTGTCGTCTTGGTCAATCATCAATCCCATAATATACTGCCCAGTTAGAGCACTGCTTAGCAGAACACAAGAAAGAAAAAAGCGTATCTGCAGGCTGTATGATGAGGCAGCCTGGGCCTGAATGAGAGGCAGCTTGCTTCTTAGAAGAAAAACTGGAGCGCTCAAAGGGAAACTCGGAAACCTTCAAGCAGGTGGAAGCTGAGATTTTTTGGGAAAAGTATATTTGTGGTGCTGGGGATCTACCCCAGGGCCTCACACATACTAGGCAAGTGCTTTGTCATTGAGCCAGATCTGCAGCTTAAGACTTGGAAGTGAAGACCTCTTCCACAGGCCTCTTTTTCCATGGAAGCCTAGGTAATGCTTAACCCTAACTTGTTTGGGTCTCGCTGTGACTCTTGAGAAATCATAAAGACTTGCTTGTGCCTCTCACAGTGTAGCTGACCTAAATGGTTCTTCTGGAAGAAGACTTTCTTACGGGATGGGGGAAGGACAAGGGTCTGTAAAATACATCCCAGCGAGTGCCCTTTCATTTTTGTTTGCAAGGACTCCACCACATTGACCAGCTCAGGTACCCTGAAACTAGAGTTGACTGGGCCATCGTTCCCTCAGGAGCTATACTTTGTTTTTCCTCCAGGGAGCTGGGGACCTGATCACCTGTGACTCACTATTCCTGTGTTGCCTACACAGCACACACGTCAAGGTCTAGAATGGCATCTGCTCCCTGGCACCCTGCCCCCACTCTGACCCCCAAGGGCCTCAGGGTCAGACACCTTTCGGGAATGTGTGCAGCTCTACCTTCCCTCGGAAGACGGGAACCTGCGGCTCCTCCCTCCCCTGAAACAGAGCATGACCCCAAAAATAAAGTTTTCCATCTCCTACCCTCAACAGTGCTTCTGTTGTCTCACAAATTGCTCTCCCCCTGCCCTTTGGTGTTGCTAGAGAATAGAAGCTTGAAAATTCAAACGATCCACTCCTTACCAAGCAGGCTAAACTTACATCTGGGTGTGGGGCTCTGGTTATGGGCACAGAAAACTTCATTTAATGAAAATGACTGACACTAAAGTAACAACACTGCCGTTCATGAAATATTTACTGAGCCGAATATGTGTCGTCACACTCACTCCCCCAACAACCTGATTTCTGTTACCATTTTATAGATGAGGAAAACACACAGTTCAGTAACATGCTCAAGGCTACACCACTATTGAGTGCTGAGAGCAGGCAGTTCTAACTTCAAAGTCGGCATTTCTCACTCTAAGCACCACCCCACCCCACCCCACCTCCACTTTGTGTGATCTGCATGCATAGGGCATCCAGGTCCTTCAGAATCTGAGTTCTGGAAGCTTCTCCCGTCTCTGGCCATCCACTAAATCCTGACTTTAGCTAACGAGTCTCTTCACCAGTACCAAGAGGGTTGGTAAAGAGGGGACTTGTTTCAAAGTGAGGTGCTCTCTGGGTTAAAAAATTGGCTTTGGAGGCCTTGGAGGGGAGGGATGAATGAACATTTTATCAACACAAATGTCACTGGCAGCCCCAAAACAAACAGGGTCCCACCCGGCTTGCTCCTTTATGAGGCATTCAATCAATAAAATGAGAGCAGACCTCTGTCAGATTTATTGGCTGGGTTCAAACCGAACACCTCTTCCACCCGCCAAAGGCTGGGTTACCAGCCTACCTTTCCGTTCCAACTCTGGACAGCCCCCATTTTCCGTGGTGGGGCTACAATGGTTCATTGTTTGAGGCAGGCCTTGTGAGAAGTTGTGTTTGTTTTGCCTCTTATCTTATCAGCTTCAGAGCTACAATGGCCCAGGTGTACTCACCATTTTACCATCAGGTGAGAGGAGATTGTGCCCGGGGTCCAGGCTGGCTGGGGAGACTTGCTGTAAAACTGACTGGCTGGTCACCATGGCGCTGTTGCCATGGTGACTGATTGTTGAGGAGGAAGTGACCTCATTGTTTCCCTGCTGGCTGTAGCGCACTCCTGCAAAACAACACAAACCAGTAGGGAACATTAGTGTCACCTGAGTCCCGGGAACACTGACTCAGGGCCCCTTGTTTTCAAGGGTGGATTACAAGAAAACACAATTACCTTCTCCTCCCCTGTCCCTCACAGGAAATAGCAGCGGTCTTTCTTGGGGATTAGGTCAGCATGGTCTCTACTTTAATTCTAGAATGCAAGCTCCATGAGGGTAGCATAATTTTACCTGTTTTGTTTTGCTCATTGCTATAGCTCCAGTATTTTGGCATTTGGTAGCCACTCAATAAACTTCTCTTGAATAAATGGATGAATGCATGAATGGACTCTGCTTGTTACTGCTTCAGCACAGCATTTTTTTTTTTAAAGGATTTAGAGGCTGAGATTAGTTTTCTATTCCTGACTGGAGTATTTCTTTTTTTTTGGAGGGGCAGGTGGGATACTGGGATTTGAACTCAGGGCCTATACCTTCAGCCACTCCACCAGCCCTTTTTTGTGATTTTTTTTCTAGGGTCTTGTGGACTATTTGCCCAGGTGAGCTTTGAGCCACGATTCCTCCTGATTTCTGCCTCCTGAGTAGCTAGGATTATAGGCGTGAGTCATTGGCACCCGGCTTGGAGTATTTTTTTTATTCTTTGAAATACCTCCCACAAATTCTCCTCTGGCATCTCTGATGGTTGCAAAGTACAAAGAAGAGGCACTTGTCCAGTGATCTCTGTAAGAGCCGTAGTTCAGGCATTAGCTCTGTGTACCACCTTTTGGCCAGGGTCTAGAGACCAGGGGACACAGGCAAGCAGGAAAGGGAGGGGGGATGCAGCTAACAGTCTTTGGCTCTTGAACTCACATTGCTTTGATGGGGTCCCAATTGGCTGACTTCCAGGATACAGGGGAAGGCATGTCTGCCGGGAGGTGAGGCAGGCAGCACACACAGGCAGAATGTGGATACTTAGTGAACCACTGCAGTTTGGTCTGCAAGGAAGGGGAGAACCAAGCATGTTTACAGCCTCACTGCTCTGACCCTCCCTCTTGCTTAGGAATCACAAAGGAGGTCTGCTCACAGGAAAGGGAAAATGCTGGACAGAGACCAGGCAACTGAAGGAAGCAAATCTGGCTTAAGGTACCCATGAAATATCCAAGGACAAGATTAGGGGTTTTTGGGGGCATCTCACCTCCAACGTCTTAGACAGTGTTCTTGGTTTTTATTTATTTATTTATTTTGATTTGACAAAAAGATTTGGGAGGTCCTTCCTGTAAGGTGGGGAAAGACCAAATACTTTAGGCATTGTCATTTGGAAAGTAAGCCAACTCTGGCTGCTCTTCTCTGTTTGCTCAGAGTTCCAAGATGAACCATCCCTACTGTATGCTGATTCTTATTGCTGTTTCCCCCATCCTGCCTATTAGAGCCTCACCAACCAGGGAAGGCCAAAAAGTCCCCTTTGTAGCCAGCCAGGCAAGCTGCCATGCCAGCAATCTCTAATTCACTAAATTGAAGCTTACCAAGAAGAGACTCAAGCCAATTTTCCAGCATCCTCATAAGGGCTGATATGACCTAGAGCTTAAGAGAGCTGGGGGAAAAAAAAAATCAAACAAATGCTAAAGTAGGGTTCTAACCTTCAAGAGCAACTCATTTGACCATGAAGGGGTTTAATGCTTGTTCCACAGGCTTTTTCTATTGGTTGTTTGCCCATCCTTCGGTTCAAAGGGCTGCTAGTGGGGGTGGTTTTGACACTGGAAATTCAGTAGCTATTGGTCCAGGGGACTGTATTTTTGGAGAAGAACAGGAGCTATGAAGTTAATAGAAGGAAAGGTTCTACCTCTCCAACAGCCCCACCAGTCCTATTTGTCTTCCTCTGCACCTGTCTGCAGCTTCAGTTTACCATTCTCTACTCCATCCCCTTGGCTTATATTAGGCCCTTTTTTCTCCATTCACATTGGCCACTGGCTTCCCAGAAGGATCTTCCAGTAGTTCACAGGGTTGTATAGAGAAGAACAAAGAGATTTGAACCTTATGAAGGCATAAGGTTCTCCAAAGACAGAGAGGTAGATCGGCAGATTTCCAATCAAAAGGAAAACTTTTCTACCAAGAAGGGGAGTGGGAAGACTGTGGAGTCTAAAACTGGACAAACTCAGGTTCAAATCCTGCCTTTGTTTGTAATAGATGTGTGATCATGGGAAAATTATTTTCTGTCTCTGCACCTTAGCTTTCTCTCATAAAATGGAGAGGATACATCTTCAACAGGGCTATTTTGGGATTGGAGATAACACCTCTAGGATTCCTAGCATAGTGCCAAATACCTGGCACCTGTGGGTGGGATGCTAGGAGGAGGAAGCTTCTATTGGGATAGACCCTAAGAGTCTAGGATTCTAGACAATTTGGGACAGATTAAGTTCTGAATGGAACCATGTTTCCGT